TTGCAATTTCCAACACCATGCTTGCCTAAAACACCTTTCCAGGCTTCCTAACCCCATCAGATATGGAGGGCCCACTGTATACAACTCCAGGTGCATGGGCTGGAAGCATTTGGGTGGACATAACTTTGAGATCCCCTGTGTGACACAATCGGTCTCCTTTCTGGTCTGCTGCTTCTCCTGTCCCTTCCTTCCCAGGCACCATGTTTGCTGCCACACTATAGAATTAATACATTTTGACACCACTTTAACTGTCATGGCTCCTTCCAGTGGAATCCTGGGATTTGTAGTTTTTTGTGACACCAGGGCTGTCTCACAGAAAAGGCTAATTATCTCACAAAAAGTACAAATCCCAGGCCTCCAGAGCATTGAGCCATGGCAGTTAAATAGTCAAACTGCATTAATTTTTCAGTGTAGATGCAGCCTATGACTATAGTTTGACAAGGTAAAAAGATGGCAGAAGCATAATAAGAGATGAAGGGCAGTGAAAGCTTCCATTTATATTACTTGATTTTTTTGAAGCTCTGTGGTTTTGTGATGCATCCTTAATGAATATTATAAAAGGCAGGTGAAGGAATTAAAATGTGCATGGAACACTTTATTTGTTTATGTATAAAATGTTTTCACATTCCTAGCTCAGTTATGCTGAAATGGGCAGAAATAGGACTGAGTTGCTTATGATTTTGCAATTTTTTGAGGAAATCATTCATATATACACTTGTCCCTCCCCGTTTGTGGACATGCCATTTGTAGTTTTGATTTTCTGTGGATGGCAAGCCATGAGGGACATAATGACATGTGCGCCCATGGCACATGTGTAATGGCATGCACGGGAGTGTGCTGCCTTTATATCCAATGGGGCTTATATATCCACAATATTTCCTTTTCGTGGGGGGGGGGGGGGGGTCCGGAATAGATCCTCCGTGAACGGGGAGGGATGACTGTACATGTTTTGGCTTGAAGTCTTTTGAAGCTCACATTTTTGTTGTATTATACAGGGAATATCCTTGCTTGTTGTATTATACAGGGAATATCCGTGGCCCCATCTTTAGTGATGGTTGAGGATCTCCAGAGGGACATCAGAGTTTTTAGGTGGTTTTAATTATGGTTTTATGTTCTCATATTGTGCTTTTAATTTGTTATATTGTTTAATACTTTCTTAAGGGGGGGAGGGATCATAATGTTTAATGTTATATTTTAATCTTGTCATATTTTATTGTTGTCAACCGCCCGGATTGGTTCACCACAGGGCGGTATACAAATTATTATTATTATTATTATTATTATTATTATTATTATTATTATTGAATTTAATTAGTGGCCTTTCCTCTTAAGTTCTTCATTTAAGAATTTACCCTATCCCTTTTGTGAGTCAAGTGCTCCTTCTTTTATCATTGAATCATAGAAACATAGAGTTGGAAGAGACCACAAGGGCCATCCAGTCCAACCCCCTGCCATGCAGGAACTCAAAATCAAACCATCCCTGACAGATGGCCTGACAGATTATCGTTATTGGATCTTTTAACCTAATATCCTTTATCTAATGGCCACCTGCAGTATAATCAGGAGGGACAGTGACAAACAAGCCAAAGTAGTCATTGTAATAAAAATAAGTTACTCTAATTTTCCAGTTGTCTGAAGCAGGAAGACATCTGCAGCAAAAAGGGTATATGTTGTGAGACTGTCTTGTTTAGAGCTTGGATTGTACATGCAAAAACATAGAGCTGTTAGAAAGATAATGTACAATTGTCCACATCCCTCCAAAATGTTGTGGCCATTGGGTGCCAAGGAAATTTTGGCACAAGAAACTAATTCTGGCCAAAACTAATGTAGAATAGCTATGGGTATGGGTATGTAATCTGAGAAGGCAACTTCTTTAATTTTCTTACTGAAATTATTGGTGGAATGCTGAAATGGGAAGGGATTACAGACATTCTTTGTCTGAGAGAAACTAAGCTGGCATTTGGTATTCACTATGAATTAAAGATTTGATGACTGAAGGAAGATACAAGTAGGCAATGTAAGCAAAAGGCTCTGGTTTTGCAAAATGATCTTAGTTTGAGAAAAGAGTAATTGAAGTATATGCATAATGGGTCCATTGCAGTGAAGGAAGTGGAAAAAAGTTCACTGTGGATGAAAGTGGAAAGAAGTGTGGTCTGAAGCCAGAGGGAAGATACTACCGTAAGTGTGGAGGTTCCTCTTACTCAAGAGGCTTGTTTTAGGCTTGGAGGCCTTTGAACAAAACTGTGGGATGTCACAAGTTGTGCCTGATCATGTGAAGCAGAATGTGTCACTGGAGCATGGTAATGATTTGGGTAGAAGAGATACGAGGAGATAACAGAAAAGCTACAGAGAAGCATATTGATATTAGAAAGTGGTATTGGCATGCATTTACTCAGCAGTTGTTGGGAAGTTGGATTTCAAAGCACTTAATGCAGCAACTTAAGCTCAAACGCTAGGAAGATAGAACAAACGTTCAGTAAAGTGTTCAGTGGGACCTGACATAAGCAGCACCTTCTCCTTAGTCCTCAGGGCAGAAGCTCCTGGATTAAATTGATCAATCTTACAAATGAGTACAGGGAAAAAAAGATTTAGCCATATGTATATATGGAGAGCCAGTGTGCTGTAGTGGTTCGAGTGCTGGACTACAGCTCTGAAGACCAGGGTTTGAATCCCTGCTTCAGCATTTGATAGCCTTAGACATCTCTCCTGTAAAGTGATGACAGTTTATAGAGGAGGAGATGACGACGTTTGTAGAAATGAGGAAGCAGACTTTGTAGGTTCTCAGAATAGTTGGGCATTCAAAATGGCTTGTCAGAAAAGACAGCCAAAGTTGGGTTCATTGGGAGACATCTTATTCTGTTGTAAGGATGTTTTGTGGTTTTCTCTAGAGATTGTATCTATTGCTCATCCATATAGTGAAGAATTTGCCAAACTGTCCATCTGTAACTTTTATTGTGATTGTGGGCAACTTGAACTGTTCATTCAGTATTACCTTTATGAAGGCTGATATTTCAGGAAACAGAAGGATTTTGTTTTGATGTAACATTTCATTTAGAGTTGCCAGGATGTTTAATTCATTACATACTAGGTGAAATCTTTTTCAGCTGTGAAAACAGATGTAGAAGGATCATGTTGGGCGAGGATTTTCTGAATCACTATGAGGTCTCTGGATGCTCATATTTTCTTTCTTTCTTTCTTTCTTTCTTTCTTTCTTTCTTTCTTTCTTTCTTTCTTTCTTTCTAAGAAAACCATTGGAAATGCACTTTCTCCTTGCCCCCTTTTCTTTTTACATTGCTCTTTAATTATTTCCTTCATTGTCTCTTGTTCTGCACTCCCTTCCTGCCTTCTCATTGATTCAAGGTACATGATTTCATTTTCTTTACAATTTGTACATCCAGAGCCTGAACTGCAGATGGACTTAGCAGTGTGATTGAATGGGAGAAAACTGATGATAACTCCACCACATGCCTTTTAGTCCAAGGACTGTAGGAGCAGTCCAGAAGGAATGGACCATCTCTTCTTTCATTGGGCTTGGATAGGCTTTATGTGCCAAAGTAGGCGTTCTGAATTACAGTTGGCCCTCAGGTGTTAGGTTGTGCTGGGTTGCCTGAAGGATTCAGATGCAGTGCTGTTGTCTTGAAGGAGGGAAAGTTTTGGTCATTCACTTTGGGTTTCATAGAATCATAGAATCATAGAATTATAGAGTAGGAAGAGACCACAAGGGCCATCCAGTCCAACCCCCTGCCATGCAATTAAAGCATCCCTGACAGATGGCTTGTTTGTTGTTGTTAAATGCCCTCGAGTTGATACTGACCCATGGCGACCATGTGGATGAGATATCTCCAAGACTCCTTGCCCTCCCCTGCTCTGCTCAGGTCCTGTAAATTCATACTCATGTTCTCCTGAATCTAGCATGTGGTCTTCCTCGCTTTCTACTTCCCTCAACCTTTCTTAGCATTATTTTCCCCACAGTGAGTTGTGCCTTCTCATGATGTGGCCAAAGTACAACAGCCTCAGATTAGTCAGTAGACAAAACATACAAAATGTAAAACATACGAAAGTTAAAACTTTTGTCCTTACTAGACCATACAAAACATCCAAAATACAAAATAGAAAATAAGTACGACAGCCTCAGTTTTGTCATCTTGACTTCCAGGGAGGGAGGGTGATGTAAAAAGTGGTGCTTGAACTTTCTCATTTCCATTTTGAAATTACAATATTTGAATTTTTGTAATCCATCTTCCACATCCCAAGAGCATTTGGTCAGGAAAACAGAGAAGCTTTCGTTTCTTCTAAGTGAGGTGGGGCATCACATCTATAAAGTGCATTGCTAAGATTATTGCTAAATGACTTGTTAAAGTAAATGGAAGAGCCATTCAAATCTAATAAACAACAACAACAACAATAATATTTATTTATTTATTTATATCCCGCCCCTCTGCAGAGCAATTGGGGCGGCTTACAACATTACAATTTCCATACAGATATATTAAACAGAACATAAAATCCCGAATCCCACCCATTGTAAAGATTAGATCATAGCTGTTCCAGAAATGTTGATCATTCGAATGTTTATTGACTCTTGGAAGAACAGTTCTTTATAGTAATAATAGTTCAAGATTGTTTTTCATTCCAAAGGAAGGGTCCTCAGTATGTTTTACAATACTCTATTTCTGTTTTGCAGTCCAGAGGGTGCATTGTTCTGTTCATTTAATATAATAATAATAATATAATAATAATTTTTATTTAATACCCCGCCCCTCTGAGAACAATCGGGGCGGCTTACATCATAAAAATCTTCACATAATAATTTAAGAACAGTTCCCCCCTCCCCCCCTTAAAAAGATATTAAACCAATTACAATTAAAACAAATTATAAAGGAGGTAAGTTCCTCCATAAAATCACATAAAAACCATAAAGAAAAAGTACAGGTGGGAATAAGTGTTGCTTATAAGAAGACCTAGTCGTAAAGGTCTTAAAAGGTCATTGATGGCCATAAAAGAAGGGGGGAGGATCTTCAAAGGGACTGAAGCCTGAGTCGGTAGTTATTCCGGGAAGGCCTGCCGGAAGAGATAAAGCTCATAAATCAATTATTGATAGTCAAGTTCCCAAATTTAGGAACCAAAATGGGCATCTTTCCACTAAGGGTATATTGAGGACTTATCGACCAGGAAACACAAAAACTCAGTCATTGTATAAGCATCATTGTAAAGGCATTGCCAGAGGTTGTGCTGCCAGTATTTGTTGGCATCCCTTTTCTTGTATGTCCATAATAAAGACGTATTTTTATTGAATTAAGTATCTACAGTGGGCCCTCCACATTTGCTGGGGTTAGGGGCACAGGACCCCCATGAAGGTGGAAAAACCACAAATAAAAAACAACTCTTTTTCTTTACCTGAGAAAACACCTCTCTAGGAATCTCTAGGTCTTCCAGTGCAACTCTGTGGTCAACACCTGGCAGAAGCTGACCATAGAATCGCACTGAAGGAAGGGGTGTCTTGCCCTCAAACTCAGTTTCCCCCCTTCCTTTTTAGCAGACGACTCAGCTCTGCCTGTGAGTTTGTCATTCTTCTTGCCTGGATTTGCTTAGACGTTGGAGGCAGATTTGGATCCACGGTCACACAGACACTGTAACACATAAGTGTTGTGTGATAGCTGATATGTTCCTTTAATATGTTCTTTTTTAATTTATACAAGCTTGAGAGGAAACTGGAATTTGGGTGTAAAGATATTGGTAAACTAACACTTCTAGAATGTTTATCTAACTGATTTGTGTGTGGCAGGACTTTGTGGTCCACATGGCAACTATTGTTTAAGGTAGTCTAGTAGTATTATCCCCATTTTAGAATTGACATGAAAATACAGTGACATTAAAATGCACTAAAATTTAGAATTGACATTAAAATACAGGTTTCCAGTGACCCACTCAGTGGTCTCCTTTTGGCACTTTAATAGCTAGTTGCCTTTTCCAGATTTTCTTTCCCAGGTCTATATTTTATATAGTTGAGTAATTTGAATTCACATGGAACACCTGTGAAGCTGGTACTCATGTGCAAGTTTGTTGTACGTAACACAACTGTTATGTTTTTGGAAGTTCAGGTAATAATAATAATAATAATAATAATAATAATAATAATAATAATAATAATAATAATAAATTTTATTTATAACCCGCCCCTCTGCTCGGCAATCGGGGCGGCGTACAACAGATTAAAAATACATCAGATAAAACCATTCCATTCTCCCCTCCCTAACCACCCACCCCTTAAAACAGGATTAAACTATTAATGAATTAAAATCAGATTCACAAATTAAAAACAAACACCATACAGTCCCATCGGCCTGTTGATGGAAATAACGGGAGGGATAAGTGGTAGATCACCTCCAATTTTTGCTGGGTGGTTATTCCGGTTATTCATTCATGCACATTTGTAGCTTTCTTGCAGGCTGTTTTCACAAAGGTCTCTTTTCTCTGTGTGCCTCATCTGTTCTGAATTATTTAGAATAAATTGTTTATTCCTGCAGTTAGAATAATATATTGCTTGGTTTAGTCTGAACAGATAGTATAGGAAGACAACTCAAGAAAGTAAGAGTTTTAGGATTAGTCAGTGTATGCATCTGACAATCAAAATATAAAAGCAGCAAGTTGTGTTTTAAATTGACCGTTTGTATATGGTGGATAATGAAATTATACATTACAGGGTTAAATATGCTGATATAAATAGCTCTTGTTCTCTAGGAATGATATTAATGGATAATCCATGTGGTAGGCAGAGTCTCTTGGAAGTGTAATGCAAGGGTTTTCCTTAGCAGGTGCTAATCTCATATTTTGGTGATTACTGCAGTATAAATTAGCCTTATAGTGCCATTCATTTTAGCAATGGAAACTGCTGTGTTTGCATACCTCAAGGCCTCTTTCTACTTCTCTTCCTCTCCTGGAAACAACTTTTAATTTCTATGGCTCTAAACAGTGTTTTCAATAGATACCATTATAGGAAATTGGAATGCCTTTGTTTCATTTTAGGACAAACTTGGGATGAGTACCAGTACTTGAATATGCATGCTGAGAAGACTCTGAGGTTGTCCATTTTTAATGTGAAGTCATAGGCTTTCATGGCCGGCATCCATAGTTTTTTGTGGGTTTTTCGGGCTGTGTGGCTATGTTCTAGAAGAGTTTATTTCTGATGTTTCGCCAGCATCTGTGGCTGGCATCTTCAGAGAACAGATGCTGGCGAAACATCAGAAAGAAACTCTTCTAGAACATGGCCACACAGCCCGAAAAACCCACAAAAACCTATTGTCCATTTTTATTTCAGCCTTCTTATTAACAGCCTGCAAGGATTATGAATGAAGACAATAGTGCTCCTATAAATAAGAGAGGTGGAGCTGGGTCACTGGTGCTCATGGGGGAGCCTAAGGGAAATAGCAAAGTGCCAGGCCAAATCCAATTTCCTGTGTGAAATGGCTGTGGGGACAAGAGTGCTTGAGAAGCAGTTGCTGTGGAGGGAGCACACACTCTTGCTTTGTCAAACAACTGAGTTTCATTAAATTTGAGGAGAAGAGGTCCTTTGAGTTAAGCAAGGCAGGATCCCCACATAAAACTTAACTCTTGATGGATAAATTCAGTGGCAATCTTCAGGTTTTTGTTACCTGTGTTTCACCTACTGTGTATACTCATGTA